CAAGATCATCAGAGAATGAAAGATTTTCATTGGACTATTTTTCTCTTTCTGAGAATATAAAACATAGAATTTTACTTGTTGAAGATAATATTGACATGAGGTAATAAAATCCCTTTTTTTTTTTAAAACAAAAAAAGTTGTGAAATTTACTTATTCTAACTATTTCATAGAAATTATTTGAAGGAATTGTTAAAAAAAGAATTTGATGTTCATACCGCTAATAATGGCCGGGAAGCTTTGGCACACTTAAAAAGATCTTCTAAACTACCGGATTTAATCCTTAGTGGTAAGTAATTTAATTTTTAAATTTTAATTTTATGCTTAGTTAAGTATTAATGAAAGTATTAATTTTATTAATTGTACTAATAGATGTTATGATGCCGTGTACAAACGGTTATGAACTATTAAATATGATAAGATTAAATCCTGAGACTCGTTTAATTCCTGTTATCTTATTAACTGCAAAGGCTAATGAGAATTCTGGTATAATTTATTTTTGTAAAATTATTTTATCGGAAAATTTTTTGATATATGTTTAAAATTTAATGTTTTTTTTTTTTTATACTTTAGGTTTAGATTATGGAGCAGATGATTACATAATAAAGCCATTTAATTCACGAGAACTAATTGCTCGAATACGTACTAATATTAATCTATCACAACTTCGTCATCAATTAATATCTCAACAAGTTAAAGAAGAAGAGATAAAACAATTGTTAATTTCGATTTCAAATTATATTCTTTCCGGAATAGATTTGAAAGAAACTCTTTCAAGAGTTGTTAATGACATTCATAAAATATTACCATGTGATAGGGTATATGTCATTTCACGTGAACCATCCCATCAAAATCATAGCGTTAGAAGTAGTAGTGATCATAAAATAATTGCTTTATCTGAAGATCGTCAATCAATGACGTAAGTTATTTATTTTCAGTATTTTTGACGTATTGAAAATATATGTATATATAAATTTGATGTAAAAATTTTCAAATTTCTCAATAGTAAAGGTGAAAAGCATGCAAAATTGGAACGTTCGAGAATTAGGATTAAAAGGCCAGATAGCGTTAGTCAAATAAGATCTTTAGATTACGATATCAATGCTAAAGATTTTAAAGTAAAAGTTTTACTTAATACATATTGTGCGGATGTTGGTCAACAAGTATCTCAGCTATCGGTAATGATATGTGTTGATAATGGTTCTTGGGGATGGATAAAAGCACATAGACCACCAAATTATACTTGGCTTGATTTGGAGATTGATTTATTTCAACAAGTATCAGATCAGATAAATGTAGCTATTAATTATACACGATTAACACAAGATAAATTGATCGAAGAAGCAAGAATAGAATCTATTAAAGCCGCTAATAATGCTAAGAGTCTAATATTAGCTAATGTATCTCATGGTATGATGTTTAAAAGTTATATTATTTATCTTAAATTTTCATCATTAATAATTAATTTTACGTATTTTAGAATTACGAACTCCACTGGGAGCAATTGTAAGCATTCTTTCTTCTTTTGAAGATGAAAAGTTAACCAAACAGCAAAAAGACATGGTTAAAATAATGTTAAACGCCTCTGATGTCGTATTATCTACAGTCAACAATATTCTTAATGCAGTAAAATTAGATGAACATAACATCATTTTGAAGAATAGGGCTTTTAGTTTATTCTGTTTATTTGAAACTGCAATTGAAACATTTGGTGAAAGAGCTGGAAATAAACAAGTTGAATTAATTTTAAGTTACGACCTAGATACTATGCCAAGATACGTTAAGAGTGATCCTGAAAGGTAAGATTTATATTTGATCTTTGTAAAATCAAAAAGGAAAAATTATTAAGAAATATTATTTTAATATAGATTAAGACAGATATTAGTTAATTTATTGTCAAACTCGTAAGCATGATTTTTCTTCACAAAATCATATATTGTTATATGTATGAAACAATTAAAAATCTTAAATTTGATTTTTTTTTTTTTTTTTATCTAGAGTAAAATATACCGAAGAAGGTGAAATTGTAATGAAGGTTTCTTCAAAAGCAAAAGGATATACAGACGCAGTTAAAAAAATAGAAATATTAGTTGAATTATATGATACTGGTGTCGGGTAAGTTAATCATAGTTAATCATTCGTTATATTAATGTAATAATACATGCTACAATATATATAATTATTTTTCATATATAATAGCATTAGTCCCGATTTTATGAAAGACATTTGGAAAGGTTTTTTAAATATTGATGAATCAAAAACCGAACGACAAGATGGTACAGGATTTGGTCTGATTACGTGTAAACAACTAGTAGAAATTAACGGTGGTAAAATAGGAGCAGAAAGCAAATTAGGAATAGGAAGTAAATTTTGGTTTACATGGATTGTTGAAACAATACCAATAACGTCTGCACCAAAAGCTTCCAATGGTGTTACTGATTTATCACAGATGTTAAATAGAATTAATCTGAGTTTAAAATGCATTGTGTTAATTAATCCATTTCGAAGTTGCTGGAGTGCTATATCAAATTTTTTTAAAAATAATGTAAAAATTGAATTATTTGATGCATGTGACCACGAGGCTGAAATGGTAAGATATCGTAGAGAGCTAAATAATCAATCATCTCACACTATAGTACTAGCCAACCTTTATGAAGAAAATGCGGATGCAATTACTAAAGTTGCATTAGAATTAAGAGAAATACATGGTGATGACTTATTAATTATTCTAATGGCATTCTCAAGCGCCAGTGGAAGAAATTTAGTAAAGAAATTAACTAGTACGATCGGAGGTCAAACTGTCGGAGTCTTTAAACCTATTACACCAAAGAAACTAATAAATTATTGCTTGCAAAACAATCTAAAAAGAAACATTGAAACTGACAAAAATAAAAGTTATAATGTCAAAAACTTTGCTAGCAGTAATTTTGGAAAAAGTACAACTACTGATTATGACGTTAAAGTTACATCTCCAAAATATACATCTCCAAAATGTAGATTAAGAACGAATTCCCATAATGAAACACGTATTTCATACGTGGTAATTTATGTTTTTTATTATTCCATTTCGAATGTTTATTTCGATAGTGATCATATTCTAATATACTCATAATTTACAGGATGATGTCCCTCCAATCCCTCCAATTCCTCCAATCCCTCCAATTCCACCAATTCCTCCAATTCCACCAATTTCTCCAATTTCTCCAATTCGTCCAATTTCTCCAATTCCTCCAATTTCTCCAATCCCTCCAATTTCTCCAATCCCTCCAACTTTCAAGGTGACTATGATTTAAATGCATCGTCTGGAAATGTTATTATACTTACTAATTTTTTAAATATATTTCTTTTTAGATTACGCGAGAAACAACTGAACAAGAACAAATTGACCTTTTACAGTCAAAATTAAGAACATTAGAACTTTCTGATTTACCAATGTTAAAAGACATAACCATGCTAAAAGATATATTAGAATAAATATTTTTTTTAAATACGTAATTGTCTTTGTCTTCAACATGTTATTTACCATATATTGGGCTGATTGCTAACATTATATTATAATTAGTCTCTTTTATACTTTTTACAAGCAATTATATATACAATTATTCAGATTATTACTCGCTTAAAAATTAGAATCATGTATTAGATAATTAAAATTGATAATAGCATATGTTTATTTTAATTTTTGCGTCAAAATTCGAGTACTTATTTTTATATACTGTAAAATTTGTTACTTTTTATTTTATACATTCTTCTATTATGTAATAATAGTTTATTTTTACTTTATTTTATTTTTTTTTTTTTGTACTTTTTTGTAAATTTTAATTTTTAATAAAAATTTAAATATGCTATTTTTGACGTATACAATTATAATTAATATCATTAAATTTTGCAATCTTTTTTTGCAATTTATTTTTAATCACTATTACCGATCTTAATTTAATGAAATCAAAAATTTTTATCGCATCATTTTGTTTTGATCAAAAACAAATTTATAATCGAAAATTGACTTTAAAAAAATTACGGATTTTTCTTTAATATGCACAGATAAAAATATATACATGTGCTAATTATTAAAATATTAAGTTTATACTCAACGATTCTATATTTTCTATTTCTACTTAATTTATAACCCTCAGTTTCTTCGCCCGTCCGAAAGTTTATAAACCTCGCCTCGTTAAGGTTTATAACTCGTCATTTGATATATTGATCTACAAATCGATCAATTATTGCGGTTTGCAGATCAAGAAAAAAAAGAAATTTCACGATTTTTAGGTGATTTCTGATTTCTTAAAATGATACCGATATTTAGGTATGAAATTGTCATATGAGTTGTTTTAAGAAATCCGAAATCACTTAGAAATCGTAAGATTTCTTTTTTTTTTTCTTGATCTGCAAAATTTCCAAATTTTGTTAAAAAATAAAATGAAACTTGGCAAATGAAACAGTTGGGTTGATATTCTTATATGATCAGTATATTAATTGACCAATCAATCGACTTATCGATTAATCGATTAGTTGACTAATCGATTCGATTAGTCGATTAATAGATAAATCGACTAAGTTGGATTTGTCACTTTACAACTAATCGATTTTCGATTCGTATCAGTAATCTACATATTACATAAATAGTATTCTTGATGTCTATCTATACATAATAAGACTAATTGCATTAAAAATAACCCTAACTTTTTAACCGCTTTTAAGATCTCCAAATTTAAATAATCCGAAAGAGTAAATGATCAAGTTTGCTAAATATATAACTCAAGTTATTTGGCAGTGAATACGTACGTACGTACGTACGTAAACTGCCAAATAACTCGAGTTATTAGTAAAACACTGTTAGTTATAAAGTTTAAATTGAAATTTCCTTATTAGCAATATCACACGTATTTATCTATAAAAATGTTTCAGGATAAACCAAATTTCCGGCCGGACAAAACTTCCAAAAATATCTGAAACTTCCGAAAAATGGGGACAGCAGTAATCTGGCCAATTATTTGAAACTAATAACCAAAAATCATCAAAGTTAAGTAACGATTAAAATCGACAAAATGAAAAACAGTGAAAGTAATTAATGTCGCAGTTAATAATGAAATTGAATTAAACATGAAATTTAGAAGCCTCTAAAACCCAGTTATACTTCTAGAAATTCTAACCTAAATTCTAAAAAAAAGCCTAAAAAGGTGTACCCCAAATTTTTTTTCAAAGATACATGGATTTTAAATTAAAATAAGGAAAATTTTATCTGACATCGTTTTAATATACTGCAATAAATGAGCATATTTAATATCCGGATAAATCCTGATTAGAGTTAAAATCCGGATTTATTTTTATATCCGGATATAATTAAATCCGGATATATCTGGATATATTTACAGCTGTTTTCATAAATTCTGGAACATCTGGCAAAAATTGACCGACTGAATATTTGCCGATTCGATAAGTTTTGATTCAGCAGTGATAAGCTTTTTATTCGGATGTAATTACATCCGAATCAAAGTTTATCATTGTTGAATCAAAACTTATCGAATCGGCAAATATTCAGTCGCCAGATGTTCCAGAATTTATGAAAACAACTGTAATCCGGATATAGTTATATCCAGATATAATTAAATATCCGGATTTAATTATACTGTATATCATACGGCACTAAACTATAGTACCCGGCGTGACAAACAATTTTTTAAAATATTATTTAGATGTGACATGTGATGTAAACAATTGTTAATTAACGTGATTTTTAATTTTTCACTATGAAAAAAAACGGCCACGTACGTACGATATTCAGATTTACAACTGTTCTCATAAATTTTGGAACAACTGATAAAAATTATTTCGGTCGAATTCGGTATTATCGGTATTTGGATTTTCGGCTAAGTAATTCCGATGACCCAGAATCTACAGGAGCGACCGTCGATGTTACACGACTGATCCTTCACCCGGTGTGCAACATATAAAAAAAACTATTTTACAAT